ATTAATTATTTGTGATATTATTATTTTAATTTACAGGTAATAACTGATGTTTTATGGAAGCAAAAAGATCATGAAGAATTATTAAAAAAGTTAGACAAATAGTTGGCCATTTTAAACATAGCATTTCAGCTAACAAATTAATCAATAGTTATCAAAAATAAGAAAAACGGCTTGAACGAAAATTTTTTCWAGATGTTACAACCCGCTGGAACAGTACTTATCTTATAATCACTAGGTTTCGAGAGCAAAAAAAGTCTGTCATTGATTTAGCTCCTTACATACATCTGTAAGTAATATTGACTAGTGAAGAATGGGTTTTATTAGATGAAATATATAAAGTTCTTGAAATATTCTATTTGGTAACTTTGACGTTATCTAAAGAAACCTCATCACTGTCTAAAGTCATACCAGTTTTAAGAAGCGTCGGTACATATTTGAAAAAAGATGTCAGCAAATCTAACAAAAGTGGAATTGCTGAAAAACTACAGTCTAGAATAAATAAAAGATTTAGTGAATATGAACAAAATAAATTGCTTTTACAAGGCACAATTTTAGATCCTAGATCTAAAGATAAAGTATTTTCCGGAGAATATGAAAAATGTCAAGAGTAGTATGTTTTAGTATGTTCTGTATCGACTGTATCCCCCGCAAATCCGGAGAATCCGGCTACCCCGCCAAGCCTATAGATCTATGCTTTCGTGGCCATGCTCGGCCGTGTCCCTTCCATCCATGCCCTTCACTTACGTGCCCCTTCCCTTCCCATCAATTCCTATAACTTATCAGCATAGCTCTACCCCTTACATCTATTCCCATCATATACATACCCCCGCCCCCACCCCTTATCATCTGAACTATTATTACCATTGAAAATTAAAAGTAGTATACTAATATACTATAATATATTTTCTAAGATTTAATTAAAATAATATCCTGATGTTTAAATCGATTATAGAATATTCGTTTTGAGATAATACAAAAGTTGATTATAGTTCATAGAAAGCTAGCAACTGGTGAATATTTATAATTTATATTAGATCATAATAAATATGTAATTATTAACGATACCTAATTATTTTCGATCAATATGAAATATGAAAGTTTATATGTACGTATAACTTATATCTAATAACTATTAACACTTTATGATTTATGAGTTTAAAATAACCGTGCTTACACCGTGTCCAAAAACATACTGTGAACTAACCAACGGTGTTAAGACTCGTTCTCTGAACCATTAAATTTACATCGGTGCATTTACACTTTCACAGCACCATTTAGTGACAGTAAAGCACACCATGAACCATAATTTAATTTTGAATTTAAAAGCTGCACCAAAACATAGTTCACACACACCGTGTTTCAACCGTTAAAAAATGCTCTGTTTAATGAAACCGACACTGAACGATAAAAATGCTACTCATCGGGATATAGTCAACAAAACGATTTATAATCACTTCTATATTTAGATGTAAATATCTCGATTAACGTTTATCATATAGCATTAGCAGTTACACTATTATAATAACTTAACACTTTTCTAACATCTATGTGTTATTGTGTATGAAATTATACATTATCATTTAGTTAAAAGTCATTAGGAAAAGATAATTTAGAGATTTCACATATAACACATCGCTTTCCAATGTCTTGATTATATATTTTAATATATTACGAAATATTATGAAAAATATAAATTTATTACCTAATACCTACTATAACTGTGTGAAGATGGTAGCTATATTATGTATAAGAGACACAATTTCACTCAAAGGAGTTATACTGTTCTTCAAGCTCTTGAAAACAGTATATATGTTATTATTGTTCTTAACCCAGTGTTTATTACCTATCAGTCAAAATGTTCAATTRTGATGTTTGTGAGAAAATTTTCACTGTGAAATCTAATATGTTAAGACATGCGAAATCTCACAAACTTATTAAATTTATATGTGTCAAATGCAAACAAATTTTCAGTAGTCGGGATGACCTTGTAAATCATGTACAGAAAAAACATGGTATGTATTATATTCAATATTATGTAATTTAAAAATATTTTAAAACAGATATAATCATTAATATACATTTGTTGAAGTACACCAGATACACAGAAGCTAAAGGTAAATAATAAT